GCACTTGACAGAATCTCATACAAGTATTTCAACAGGATTTAATTCCAAACAGCACAATGATGGTTTAACACATGTGATAATCAAAGCAAAAGTTGAAGCCCAAACATGTACCAGCAATTTTTTAGAAACAAGACAGCATTACATCATGAATTTGCACACAAGCCAAAGTTCACATTCATGACAGCATTGTATACCACATTTATTGCAAATACAAACTGGTTTCAAACATATATAATAATCCAACACTGCATCATGCCAAAATCCTAGCAGTTACATGAAACAGATTTTTTCAAACAAAACAAACAAAGCAAAAGGTAAAGCAAATGTCCAGCAAAAAGTCAAACCAGTAATGTTGTGTTCTAACAAACACCAATCAGGGCAAATGTACCATAATCACCATGAAGACATCTTACTCAAATGGCTTCCTAAGCTGAACAGAAATTAAGCAAATAAAATTAAATGACAGCAGCAACAGTAATCAGTTAGATCAAAGTCCACATGATAAAGACTTAATGATTCTTCTGTCAACTAAACCCAACATCCAAGACCAAAATGCAGTATGACAGTCCACAATTGATGGTATCAATATCAGGTCTCACACAAACAGCATCACAAAATGAACAAAAATCTAATCTCCACATAATCCAGACATCAAACAGCATTGATCCCTAATGGATCCAAAACTCAAAGCAACAGGAAATTAGTAAACTCAAACAACCAATCCAACTGGTCCCTCAATAATTTCGAATCAAGTGAAAGCTGAAGTACATGTGAATTATTAAAAAAAAAAACAATCAGATGAAACAAACAAACACAGTAGCTTTGCTGCTAACACCTAAAGACAACTTTGCTGATCTAACCACTAAGCCAAAAGGCAAGATGCTAATGGTTCTGGCTCAATTTGGAACTCAAATAACAGTTTTTTTTTATGCAAAGGAAAAGCTTCAATCATACTGTTATCACAGCACTCAACAAAATCAACAACAAGCCACGCCAACTAGTTCAAGTTTTAAGAACAACAAAACAATTATCATCTTCAAACCAAACAAAATAAATATTGACTTAAGTTCTAGACATAATTACCACAAGATGATGAATGTATGAGATGACTTTAATGACCAAGTGAAAAATGTGGAAGTAAATAACAACAGCTTAACACAAAACTCAAGATGCACCAAGCACTTAACAGTGTGTTTTGGTGAACATATGTGCGTGTAATGCAAGTGCAAACTGACTTGACCAATTTATGGAATTTATTGCAGCAGAAAGTAGTTACAGCAACAAGGCAAATAAGTGAGCATGGTAACAGATAAGATTGGCTCAACTCAAAGCAGATATTCAAAACAAAATGAAATGCAAAAATGCTGTGAATCTAAAATGGATACCACAATTTAGCAAGCAGTAACAGCACACCAATCAGGGATAAAAAGACAACACACTCCTAGCATACTCACTCAGCCTACCAATTCAAAAGGCAACCATCTTATACATTTCTACGCATACACCTTGAACCTGACAGAAGCAAAACCTTACAGCAAAAACAGACAGCAAAACTTGACCTCACAAGCTAGACATCAAATGGAAATTCTAGTAGCATTCAGCAATGTTCATTTAAAACTGACAGCAGCATGGTATAGTTGACCAAAGTACATATATGATAAACAAAACAGCAATCTTATACTAAGCACAAAAATACCAAACACATGTCTGAACCTCAAATAACAACAAAATCTCCTAGCATGAAAACAAAACAAAACTGGCTACAAAGCATGTCACCTACAGATTCATATAACCACATCAGGACCAGTCATACATCAAAAACCAAAGCTTCTTTTGAATCTTAAATGAATTTTCTTTAAGACCAAATATGATTGTCCAAGAACCTTAAGCAACAAAATATATCTTGAAGGCAGCACAGAGCAAAAGACAGTGTATTTTTATGTTAGCACAAGACACCATATCATGGCCAACATTTAACCAGATGGACCTTAATATTTTATGAACTTAAACAGGGCACATAGTTTACCAAACTTAGATTTACATGACTCAACACAACCAAAACAAAACACCAGCAATTGAAATAATTCTTCTAAGTCTTTAAATGAAGTTGAAGCAATAAGAGATTAACAACCCTAGGTGGCTAATAGTCCAGATCAAAACTTGAACAGTCATACACAATAGATCCATAAAAAAAAGGTCCTAACAATAGGCATCCTGTTGTACAATACAACAACCCATCACAGAGTTGGGCACAAACACATCCCACTAATGATTCAAAGCTCAATGATCAAACCAAATAAACAGGACAAAACTCCCACATCATTATAACTCAAAAAAAATGAAAACTAAGACTCTATAAGTTCACCCAAGTGTTAACCAGGAAAGGTTTCAAACTTAAAAATCCAACAGTGTTCCTAGACATCAAACTCAGCAGATATCAAATACATTACTCAGAGCATATAATAAACACATTTTAAAGCTGTTATTAGGATGCAAGTAAAACCATATGAACACATTTAGCATTTCCAGTATATACAGAGTTCATAAACAAGCTCAGTAAACCCTAATCATTGGTCTATGCGTACAATGAGAATGAGGACCAACATTTCATACCTAGCAACAAAAGCTGGAAAATCAAGGAACTCTGCAAACCCCACTCTCCAGAGCAACTCCAGGAACCTCCCCTCTCTCAAAGATACTTTTTCTTTCTCTCCAAAGACAATCTCTGGCCGCTGCTAAACCCTTAGGTTTTTTTTTAACTTCCAACTTATCCCTTATATATCCTCTGATTTGAGATTTGAATTTTTCCCTCTTGCTGAGCTCTCTTGTTTCACGTGGCTTTTCTTGTCTTGTGGTGTGGTAGCTGCTCAGGCTAGGGTTTGGTGGTGGCTGCTTGTTCGCCCAAATTGGTGAAAGAGGCAGAGAAACACAGGGCTTGGTACTCTTGTGGTTGGCCTTGAAAAGGAAAGAGGTAGTACGCTCCAATTATTTCACCATTTCCCTCTTATCTTGCAATTTCAAACATAACTCATCCAATACACCTCTATCATCAAACCCAAAAAACAACAAATTAATCCTTGCGAAGAGGTGATTAGGATTGAGCTTTGTTTCGTTAAAAATGGTGATGTCTTGCTCTATCCTCCCTCCTTCACGCACAAAATGTTTTGCTTTTCACCTTCTGCCCAGCCACGAACAAAGCAAGGTATGTTATTAAACTGGGGTGGGATAATCACTGGATGTATCGCCACCCCAGTGGTTAAGTCATGCGCGCGTTTTCCCTATGGTCATAGGTTCGAATCCTTGGTGGGAGCAGAATCCACCAATTTTTATTTTCACGTGCCTCTATTTTTCTTGTAAAATGTATAGTTTTTTTTCATCTCTTGGTAATCAAAAGCGTGCTTCTAGCCAAGTGGTAAGAGTGAGTCTTGGTGGAACAAGAGGTGGTGGGTTCAAACCCCACCTTGTGCACTTGTTTTATTTTATTTATTTTTCTTAGGAAAATGACCTTCTCATTTTCCACATTATTTTTAAATACACTTCTTTTTTCTTCTTCTCCTTTTTTTTTATATCCCTGTAAAAACGCAAATTAAAATATGCTATGTAATGTTTTTTATGCCTTATGTTGATGCAGATGAAATACAACACATGCCAGAGTGGTTGGCCAAATTTGGGGTATAACACTGCTGTCAGACGAGTACTGGATGACATTATTATGGAGGCACATGGGGCACTTTTGTGTCGCAGACATCACGCGAGGATAGAGGGATTGAGGGCCGATGAGGCAGACCAGGCAGATGAGAGGTTGTCAGGCACACCCAGTAGTTGTTTGTATTTATTTTATTTCAGTACTATAGTTTGTACGTTTTTTTCTGACATTGTTATTACATTTTGTTCTTAAGGCTTGTATGACAACCTATTACTATATTATTATGTTATTTTGATGTGTATGTTATTTTATAATTCATCTGCGAACAAATACATAATGCGGTTAAAAAAAATATTATAAAACACTTCAGAGATATATCTTTGAAAATTTTTCATAAATGCATCTCTGAACAAATTCAAATGGAAATAGGCTATGAAAAATATGTCGTGACCGTTTAAAGTTTAAATTATTCCGCAGATATATCTTCGAAATATTATTAAGGCATGAGACGCGTTCAGAGATATATCTCCAAAATCTAAAGGCATACGAGAAAAACCACATGATGAGAAAAAAAACTCATGAGATGGGATAAGAAATTCTATTATTTTTTAAAGTCAATCAATTGAATTTAATTATGTACCATTTTATTTGATTAATACCACTAATTTAAATAGAGCCTAAAAAGTAAGAACTATTTTATTTTATTTTATACCCCTACATTTGACCACATGTATTTATATATTAGAGGAGGACGAAGAACACTCTTTTTGAACACTTTTTGTAACGCTAACTCTTTTATTGAGTGAAATTTATTTATGTCTCACACTTTGGAATGTCATCCACATAAAGTAGTGGAATGTGTGAGAGTTTCACCCATTAAGAAATTGAATGTTTGAGTGAATTTTCCCAACACTTCTCGTATAAATTATTCTTCAACAAATTTCTTTCATCGAAATGAAAAGTTAAACCTACACTTTTGCAATGTATGAATCAACTTCTTAATTGAACGGACTTATTTGACTAACAAAATATTAAATTGCAGTAGCTACGATCACACAATCACACATCATAACACATTTAAGATATCGGTGATCGATACATTAAGATCATAATGTTTAGATTTTAGTTCAACATATAAGTTGTGACACAATGTTACAGACAGGTTGAATATCATATATTCATACCATAGGTATTATCTGCTACCTCAAAACTCGTAAGATTTACGCATGAGGATTTAGCGCGATGATAAGAGCTTAGCCTTGTAACTTATTGGTAACATATCAGTCTAACACATTATATTTATGTCTGCTATCTACTAACAACATTCAAACAATTCATTCAAGAGGACATAACTTCATGCAGTGTGCTCTTCTTTATCTTCCTTTTCATCATTTTCAGCTGCTGCCTTTTCACCATTTTCCTTATCTGCATTTTCACTATTTTCAGCTGCTGCTGCCTTTTCGCCCTTTTCCTTATCTGCATTTTCACCATTTTCAGCTGCTGCTGCCTTTTCACCCTTTTCCTTATCTGCCTTTTCACCTTTTTCAGCTGCTGCTGCCTTTTCACCCTTTTCCTTATCTGCCTTTTCACCTTTTTCAGCTGCCGCCTTTTCAGCTTTTTCAGCAGCCACCGCCGCGGCAGCAGCCATCAACTCGTCGAAGTTTGCAGTCTTCTCGAGTAATATTTCAATCTAAAAACATAACAAAAGAGGCTTAATGATAAGGTCAGAAAGCAGGGTCCTTGAAGATATTACACAAAAATATATGCTCGCCCTTACCCGGGCCTTTTGCAGAGGTCTAGCTCTGGAATTATCTTTTAGGATAACTGTTGATGTTTTGATTTCTGCATAAAGATTCAGCAAATCAAATTTAATTGTTCGATTATTCGAGTACCAGCAGAAAGAGAAATGTGAAAGGGAGACAATTGGTCAAAGAAGACTTAGTAACTCACTTTTTTCCACAGCAAGTCCGCTCTGTTTCAAAATCTCTGCAACAGAAACCACTGAGGCAATAGCTGTAACAACAACAATAATGTAAAAAAAATGAAATCAGAGATAAGAAAGGATGACCAAGAAAAGATTCAATACATAAATCAGGACGATACTAAACCCCAATTTAAATTAATTTCCAACTTATGAAAGCTTCTTAAGTGAAATGTGTAATCGGTTAATACCCCCGCAAATGGCAAGTTGTGAAGGGATGATACCCCTCCAAATGGCGGTTCTGTAAACCAGAATGACGTGTTTATATGGCGAAAATTTGGCTTTCCGCCATTGACAACACTGTATTAAAATCTAGCATACAAAATCAAACAAAAAATCGATTTACTTTCAAGTCCTATTTAAATCCCTTTATCCTCAAATATCAATTTCTCTTAACATATGATTCCATAGACACTAGCATAATACACAATTCATTTTGAGAAATGTGCTAGACCGCAGCAAACTGAAGCTACATCTAGCTTTCTCTGCCCGTGTTCAGGGCAGAAACAGTCACAGAAGTAGCCAAACTAACCTAAACAACTCTTTAAAGACCTGAGAAGCAATTCGTCAAATTGAAGCTATACTGTAGCAGAATTCGAACAAATCGCTATTGTAGCATTGCAGAATTTGAACAGAACACAATTTACTGCAATTAACATCATTTAGTACGAAATAGCTTATCAATATAAACAGCAATTCAACCTGAGGAGGCCTTTAAGAGTCAAAACATACACCGAGGCTGTATACAAGATTAGGTAGTTTGTGTAACATTGTGCTTCCGAGTGAAACATCTACAAATCAATGTAGTTTTTGTGTACGCTATTCTTTAGTTTGTCAAAATTCTTAATCTCGCATAGTTAAAGTGATAAAAGCAATAAATAGCTCAAAACCCTAACCAATTAAAAAGAAAGAAAAACCAAATCAAAAAATGGCTAAACATTAATGAATGAGATTCAGTTTCAAGATTTGATACCCGATCCTAGTGCTGAAAGCTCAACCTCATTATACTGCTGCATATACCTCTGCAAAACAAAACCAACAACGATTCAATAAAACCTAATGTGTCCGCATCAACTAAAAACAATACATAACAGAAGAAGCTTGAGAGATTTAAAATTAATATGAAAATGAAAAATATATAAATCGTTCATTAGATTACCTTGGCCAGATTAACGAAGAAGAAGATGGGTTTTTTGGAGTTGGAGACGTGAATACGATTCTTGTTAATAGAATCAGAGATGTTGATGCTGTTCCCTCCTTCTGTGATTACTTCCATTGATGTGTGTGTGACTGTGAGACAAGACAACGGAGACAATTGAAAACGAAACCTAATCGATGAAATGCTCCCCAAATCAATGTTCTTTTTCTGTTGTTTTCTTAAGTGTTGTAGGAAAAATGTCATAACAATTGGGCCTTGCCAGTGGCTCTTCTTGGGCCGTATTCTGGCCCATTAGTTAGGGGAATAATGTCAAAACAAAAAAAAAGGTCTTTGGAAATCTAAATCGTCTATCATTTTTGTCCGAGCATTGCCCTCTATTAGCAATTATTTCAAATTAGTCCCTTAAAGGTTAATTATAAATATCAAATCAGTCCTTATAAGAGTTAGCTAAAACTCAATGGTACTCAGAGGTAGTGTTGTCAATCACAGAAAGTAGTGGTTTGTTCAAATTCAGCTACACCAAGATTAGCCGCTATTTGATAACAATTGCATTAAATAGGGTATCATGGAACAGTGGCAATTTGTTCGAATTTCGTTATACTATAGTATTATGGCGCTGCTATTTGACAACACTGCTTAGAGAGTTATGGCTAAAAACTAAAATGACCGATAATTTATTGTTTTAGGGGCTTTTTTGAATTTCTCTTAATTCAAGGACCAAGTTGGGGATATAGTTTATGAGCAAAATCTCATTCGCCATGAAATTGTTTGAATAAACAGTATGTTAGATGATTGTTTTCTTTTAATAGCAGTTAATTTATGGTCTTAGAACAAAAAATGTCCGAGTGGTCGATAATAGTAAGACAGAAATGAGATACGTAATCATACCTGTTCCAACAGTCCACTTGAGCAGGTTTTTTAGTTGCAATCTCCCGGTGGTAACGTTTTAACGACTTGGACAAAGCCATCCATATTTTGAACGAAGTAGTCTACATCAATGCATCTACAAAACCGCTGCAATAAAACCAATCAATAACCATTATTTCCAATAACAAATTGCAAATAAAAACAATTCCACGGAAATGAAAAGATATCTTGCCTTGTTTCATTCCAATATGAAGCCACCTCAAACTTTGGTAGGACAAGCATTGTACTTCACAGCCTAGCGATTCCCACACCGTCATAGGAGTGCAATTACGGAAGATTTTATATCAATTTCAAGAAACAAGCAAAAGAGTATTGAACATCAACATAGGGTCCGAAGTTGATATTCAAGGGTTGTCTTCAACCACTCACATCTCTTCACATTTGGTTGAGGCCCACGTAGCAATCCATCCTAATATATCCATTGGTTTCTAACGGTAGAGCTGAAACATTTAAAGAATAAAGAAAACACGAAAGCGACGTCAGCAATGAAAGCCAATTAAGGTTGATTCAGAAAATAAAAAGCCAATCGTCAACCCTCATCTCAAGTCTCAACCAACCAACTTGATCCTATCCACTTAAAACCTATGTAGTACCGACCCAACACCTTTGAAAAAAGGTGTGTCTGTGTCCGAAACCGACATTTGTGATTATGTTTAATTTATTCATTTTTTTAAAATTATTATCGGTGTCGGTGTGGTGTGTCAGTGTCTGGGTCGTGTTACCACCATGCCTCATAGTTTAAAACTCCTCAGTTGCACTAACTTCTAAGTTCCAATATCAATGTCTATGTAGCATCGATACTTCATAGTCCATATCAAAGGTGTATCCATTGTCCCACATGTATAAGTGTTCAACACAGATACATATGGTTACATCCAATTACTTCTATTTTTGCGCAATTAAATCAAATTAATTATATTTTCTCAATCTACTACCGTGTTGTCGATGTATCACTTCGGTTTATGTGTTAATGCTTCATCGACCAAAGTAAAACTAAGCATTTATACACTTAAGGCTCCAATCATTCAAACACAAGTAGAATTGTTCCAAGTAATTTCCAAAAGTTCAATCCCAACAAACAATTATAACTATACTAAGTAGGAATAAATCAAGTAATCACAAAAGTTAATAAAAAAAAAAACTAACTTTTAACCTCCAAAAATGAAAGCTAACAATAGAACCAAAAATATGATTTGGTTAAGCAAAAAGTACCATTGGCAAGGTCTCCATTCCAAGAATCTCCGAACACTTCATATATCTATCTCCTCTCTGCAACCCCAACAAATCATAGATCAATCGCAAGGAAAAGTAAATAATAAAAACAGAAAATTGTTACCGTATGAGATGCTAACAATTCATATTGAAAACACCCAGTTGCAAAGTTCGAATCTTTTTGGCATATTAAACCTAGAAAGAAAAAGTAAAATTGAAATTGTGAAGCATACAGTGAGGGTTCTCAAGAAATCGGATATTCGGGAGAAAGGGTAATGAGGCGATAGCAACGTGAAAACGACAAGGAGAGAGTGAAAACGACAAGGAGAGAGTGAATAAGGGTTTTACAGAGAAAACGACCATTTGATTTCAAAGAGTGGTAATATAATTAGAAGGTAATTGAAATATGAATTTCCTAAGTTGTTTTGGTTTTTTTATACAACAAATTACATTAGTTTTGTGTTGCAATTACATAGAAAAATCAAAGAGAGCGAGGTTGTGTGACATGATTATAATGTTACCTAATATATTTGTAACCACTATTATGTTTTGTATTTGTTTAGAAATTATACATATGCAAGAGAAATGTTTCATCATGCTCCAATTCGGCATGCCACTAATTTCATTATTTTGCAAAATATTTTAGTTCATAAAGACACACTAAGAATCGTGATAACATGTAAAGAATTGGCAATTTCCCTAATGCCAAAGAAGCAAAGACAAAAGAATATGTGGATCAAGTCTTAGACTTTGAATTTGAGAGTAAATGTATTGATATAGTGAAATTCACTAAACCATTTGTAAGTATATTGAATATTGTTGATAGTGAAGATAAACTTTGTTATGGACATTTATTTCAATTTTTTTAGTCAAAATTAAAGAGAACATTGTAAAGAGGTTTCAAAAAATTAAGAAGAAAGTGGAGTCTTATTTGAATATCTTAAAAAGTATGCTTATGAAAATCTTAAACTTCGACTGAAGTTTAGTAATATTTTCATTAAAAAAAGTATGCTTATGAAAATCTTAAACTTCGATTGAAGTTAATTAATAATATGAAAATATTCAACTTAAGTAAGTTGTGTTTTGGAAGGAAATATGTTGTGGATGATCAATGTTGAAAAAGACTTTAAGTTGTCTAACTTGGTATGTGATTTGACCTGATCAGAAGGGGATCACTAGCTGACCACACTCTGTTGGACTGCTACTCGTTCACCGGTGATGAGGAGGGGGCGTACCTGCAAGGCACTCCGATGTCAAAGTGAGTATATGGGCAGAGTGGTCACAAGCACAGAAAAAGGGTAAAAAGTGAATTACCTGACCCTCTTGTGGAATAGGGTATTTATAGAGAGACCTCAGCGTTGGGCCAACGGTCACTTGTGTTGGGCTGGATTGTCAGGCCTAACCCAGGTGACTGCTAGGGCTTACGTGGCGTAGTGAAGACTAGGACGTGGTCTTCGCCCTAGTCCAACTGTCCCGTGATCTCTGGAAAGTGGGTTTGACCTACTCTTTCGGAGGTGGGCAGTTGGTAGATGACGTGTCCCCGCGGAGGGGAGCACGTGGAGAACGTGCGAATGGCACGTTGATCTCCCCGCAGAGGGGAGCTCGCGCGGTTCCCCGCAAGTGTGTTGTTCTCCCCGCTGAGGGGAGCACACGAGGGCGGGGGAGAGGCACGTGGTCCTGCCCGACGACATGGGAATTCTGCCCGCAGAGGGCTGTTCTGCCCGACGAGGGGAGGGCGCAGAGGGCGTCTTGGGGAACGTTGTCTCGCTCGGCGGGAACATGCCCTTCCCGTCGAGGGGTCGCGTGCCTAGCCATCCTACTTAAATCATATTGGGCCTTGGTCGTGTATTATTGGGCTGGGCCGCGAGGTGAGGCCGGGGCCCAGGCCAGAACAGGAGCCCCCCAAGTCGAAGCTCTTCGGTGGAAGAACGAGTACTTAAGGACATCGCTTCGGGGAAGGAGGTAACGAGGCGTGAGGCTCCGCCTGCTTGTGTTCGGCGAGGCGCGCGCGCGAAAGTCTCTTCATGCGCGAGGCAAAGGCATCTGAAGGGACACGACTGTCAGCTTACCGCCACGTGTCACGCATCGAGTGGGCGTGAGGGCGGCTACCCTAGGTCACTCAAGGGCCTAGTGCTGCTTCGAGTTCTGCGTCGGGTTATAAATATGGGAGTCCCCGCGCCCTTTTTACTTTTCACCTTGCTTTTTCACCTACGAAACTCTGTAGTTCTTCCCCGTCCGCCGTCGCCGTGAATCGCCGCCGCGCCGTCCGTTTCGCATTCCGTCCCCCCCCCCCCCCCCCCCCCGTTTATAAAGTGAGTTTCCTTCCTCTTTTATTTTATTTTCGCCGTTCATTTTGGGTCTGTGGTCGGGGCACGATGAATGCCCCAAGGAGAGACGCGAGTTTCCGCCGTATCTGGTGGATTTTTAGGGTTGTTTAGATGAATGCGCCGGGGAGGTCGACTATTCTGATGAATGCCTCGGGGACGGGCGCTTCTTGATGACGAGAAAACGCATCGATTATATCGCTAGATTTCATTGACGTTTTATCACGCATTCACCGTTTTAACACTCGATTTCTCGAGTTTTTCTTACTATTTTGCAGGTACATCGTTATGTGAAGCCGAATCATGAATTAAGAGAAAAGGAACAAAAAGAGACCACAAGGAGATGAAGAAAGGCAGAAGCCTGCAAAAAGACTGCATAATTTGTTGCAGCCACGGTCGTTACAAGGGTGTCACGACCGTGACACCCCAAATTGGGCCATCACGACCGTAAGGGAGTGATCACGACCGTGACACTTAAAATCCTCAATTTACGAACGTGAAGACCTTGTCACGCCCGTGACAAGGATAAAACTTGGTTTTGACTCAGACCACGTCAAGGTACCACTGAAGACCACTTCTCCTCTTATTTCTCCTCAAGGCAGCACGTGAAGACGACTTCTCCCATTTTTGTTGCCACGTTCCAGCATTTCCTCA